AATTTTTGCAAAACATAAATATTTAGTATTTGACAATGGTTCTCGTTTATCATTTTTAAGAAATATTTTTACATTTGCGTTATTCCCGTTTCTAGTTTTTTCTAAAACATAAATAAAAATATTATTTTATCATGTTTACTCACATGATATAAAAATGGTTACCAAATATGTTTCTATTTTTTTTCATTAAAAAAAATTAAGAAACAAGACACAACTACCAAACGTATTTACATCTTCGTTTATTAAAAAAAAGGACGAAAGGAGCAACAAGCTAAAATAGAAACATTACTAAACGAGTCCTAAATATTTCTTCCTAACGTCGTTAATCTACATCGGCTCTCTTTCATGCTAGCTTCTTTTACAGGTTCTCATAGCTAACAGAGATTCAAAATCTTCTACTGCAAAATTAAAGAAGAAAAGGTATATATGTAATAATAGAGACATTTTATGAAATATATAAGCTAAAGTTTTTCTATAGGTTGTGTTAACGATGATACATACTTAATTTTTAGGGGATGGTGGTCGCCTCCATTATTTACAGCTAGTTTTGCATATGCAAAATATTTCTTTCGACATGTTTCAAGAGCAAATACTGTTGCACAAGCTCGTACAAATGCTTCTGATCATTATGACTTGGTACTGCTTTAATTTTTTTGTTTCTGTGAGTACAACAATTTCGAAATATGAAGGACCGAACTTTCGACGTTGAACGAAGGAGTATATGCTAATTACGTTGGCTGGATTCTTATTTTGTGTCATTTTTCTCCCTCTCGACGACAAATATTTAATTTGAATGGTCTTTTATTCTTTTTTTTTCATAGAGCAATGAACTCTTTTCTCTTTTCTTGGGTGATACGATGATGTACTCATGTGCCATCTTTAAGGTTTGTCGATGAAATTATGATCAGACGTTTAGGCCCGTTTGACAAAGTTCTTTGTTTCTAATTTTATTAAGAAACTGAATCTTTTTGTTACTAGGTATGCTTCTTGTTTTTTGTTTCTTATTTTTTCAAAACATTCTCAAACTTGTATAGAAATTTTAGAAACAATCGAAACAAAAGTTCTTATTTTTTTGTTTCCATTTTCAATTTATTCTAAAATATAAATAAACAAATTATTTTATCATACTTAAATTCATGGATATTAAGATCATGCAATTTATTTTCATTTATTAAAAATGAGGAAACAAAAAAAAGGCTCGTTTCGTAAAATTCTTGTTTTTTATTTTTCGTTTTCTCATTTTTCAATTAAAAAAATTTGTATTTGGTAATTGTTTATCGTTCTCTAGAACATGTTTGATAATTAGTTTTTTGTTTCCTCTTCTCTAAAGTTTTAATAAATTAAAACAAGTATAAGTTTTACATGAATTGAAACTAATTTTTCAAATTAAATATTAAAACTTTTTATATTTATTCTATGATATTTATTATGCATTTTATAAGTCAAAATTCTATGTTTTGGCATTAACTGATTATAGAAAACAAAAAACAACAAACCTGATTTTATTTGTTTCGAAATTTGTACCTAAAGTTGGAAATATTTCTTAAAAATAAAAAAACTACAAATATTAACGGTTAACAAACACTTACATTTTTCAAAAATTGGAAACAAGAAACAAGAACATTATCAAACGAGTCTTTGATAATCAATTATGTTGATTTTTTTTCTTACCTTTTGTTTGTCAATAGATGGAGGATGAAGATTTGAACGTTGCACAATTGCGAAAAATCTCTGTTCTTATAGAAAAGGTGATTATTTTTGCTACAATTTTTTAGTTTTAGTGAAGTTTTTTTTTTCTCCATCCTCTCACTAATTAATTAATCTATTTTCTCTATTTTAATTGTTAGGCAAGAATCAATAAGAACCATCATGTGCTAGAGATTGGGTGTGGTTGGGGACGCCTAGCTATTGAACTTGTGAAGCAAACTAGATGTCATTATACTGGAATTACTTTATCTGAAGAACAACTAAAATATGCCCAAAAAAAAGTTAATGATCTCGGTTTTCAGGTAAATTTTAAGGATCCATTTGGTAATGTTCCTATTTTTTATTTCTCGTTTCTAATTTTTTTAAGAATTGGGGACGAGCCTAAAACGTCAACACCTCCCATTTATCGAGAACTTCTGGTGTAAGCCACACGGCATCTATTTCAAGTTATAAAAAAAAAATTATTAAAAAAACCTAAGCATTACAACCATTTATGTTTTCTTGATCTTCTTTGTTTTAAAACGTTCTCAAAATTGTATAGAAATTTTGAAAACAACGAAAACAAGTTTTTTGTTTCTAATTCTCGTTTCCAGTTTGTTCCGAAACATAAATAATTAAAAGAACCGATCAATTCTTGAATCTATGACATACAATTTTTTTCCTTTCTTTATTAAAAAAAAAACGAAACATGAATATTACCAAAACGACCCCTAAATTAACTCTTTTTTTTTTCTTTCTTTGCTATAGTTAATCAAAAGAACAGCTAAAATATGTTGATTAAAAGTTAAAATTAAAGAACAAGTACTCTAATAAATATAAATAGACTATTAATTAGCTCTTAAAACTTTCCCTCCAAATGTCATTATTAACTAAATCATTTTGGTTCAACCAGCATCACATCAAGTTTCTTCTTTGCGACTATCGACGATTGCCAAGTCATAACAACAAATATGATAGGATTATATCATGGTGAGTTGATTTGAAAGGTTAATTAATTTTGTTAATCATATGAACAAAATAGTATTATATGCTAATTATTTTTTTATATTTATCAGTGAGATGATTGAAGCTGTTGGACATGAATTTATGGAAGACTTTTTTACTTATTGTGAGTCTGTATTAGCAGAAAATGGCCTTTTTGTTCTACAGGTTTGACAATTTTAATTGCTACAAATTTTGTCACTTCATTTTATGATTATCTTAACAATGTTAATATGTTATGGATTATTTCATATTACTTCTGATTCTTATTAGTTTTTATCGACACCGGACGAGCGTTACGATGAGTACCGACTAAGTTCAGAGTTCATAAAGGAATATATATTTCTAGGAGCATGCCTACCGTCATTAAGTAGGATAACAACAGCCATGGCTACTGCATCTAGATTTTGGTAAATAAGCTATATATAACAAAAATATTCATTTTTTTTCATGTTCAACAAAAACTAAAGTATGAAATTTCCTTCCCTTAATTTGTAGTGTGGAACATTTGGAAAACATTGGACTTCATTACTATCAAACATTGAGGTGTTGGAGAAACAATTTCCTTAATAATAAGAGGTAAGAAAGCTTTGTTCATATCATTTGGAAAAAAAAAACTATATATTAATGTTAATTTGAAATAAATGTCTCGATTTGTTTTTTGTTTCGGTGAGATACTTGAACTTGGTTTTGATGAAAGATTCATACGAACTTACGAATACTATTTTGACTATTCCGCTGCTGCTTATAAGTCATGCACCCTGGGAGATTATCAGGTATATATTCATCTAAACCTAAAAAAAAGCTCAAACATCTTCTTTACTAATAATTTATCAATTTAAATAACATGAAAAAATATCTATTAATCGGCTAAATATATAGTTTAGCCTTGATATTTGTCATTTTCCGATTATAATTTTGTCGATACATAAAATTGAAATTTTAAAGAAGTGATCTAATTGAACATACTAAATTATATAATTTATATCTTTATATTAAAAAAAAATTATTGGTTACACTCGTGAAATTAATTACTAAAATTATTTAGACTGGCACTTATGGTTGTAATTTTATTGCAGATTGTGTTTTCAAGGCCTGGTAATGTTGCAACATTCAACAATCCATACCAAGGAATACCTTCAGCATATTGAATATAATTCATTTTACTTCTTTACTATTTTTCGAAAAAAAACTTGTAAAAACCACCATAGCTCAACTATAATTGACATATATATTCCCGATTAAGAGGTTGTGAATGTTGTACTAAAAAAAAATAATAAATAAATTTTGGCTACTATTATTGGAAATAATAATTTGGCTGGCATTTAGCACCAAATTAAGTGTTTTACTTTTGAACTTAAACTTCTATGTTAAAACCTACGAACATTAAGGATTGATTTTTAAAAAATAATTAAAAAAAACTACGTTTATACTTGCCTGCAAATATATTATTCTTACCTCGCAAGAACATATTGTCATTAGTATTAATGGAAAAATGAACTATATATGTGGTAAAATGTACATTTTGAGTTTATGATTTCTCAAAAAAAAAAAAAAATTATGAATTGGAAAAGATAATGTAAGATTAATTGTATCATGCGAAATTGCAAAAAGAGAAAATGGCACTTGGACACGAAGTTAACATATTCAATAACGAAAATGGTATAGTTAAAAAATGTTAAAATGTAAAGGACTAAACTGAAACTTTTAAAGAATATAAACTAAATTAAAAAGATATACCAACATTATGAACTAAAGCATATATTTAGTGTAGAATTAATGTGGACGTTTATGAGGTTTGGACCCCTCCTTCTCTCCTCTTTGGATCGATTGACTTAGATGTACTTTATTTTTGCTAAATTTACTCACTAGTTATTAGTTCCTTCTTAACTTAAAAAAATAAAAACGTTGACATGAGCATAGTTCAATAGATTAAGGTATCTGTCTACCACTAAAAGGTCATGAGTTCAAAGAAGGTTATTAACGTCTTAAATACGTTAAATTATGCTCAAGTTGACACGGTTTAATTTAAGTATTAAGGTTTACAAGGTTTGTGACTCCAGATTTGATATATTATATATAAAGAATTTTATAAATAAGAAAAATTGAGTTTAACATAATTTTCAGATGAGAGAAGATTAATAGGGTGCAACTTCTCAAATTTGTCATAAATTTTTAGATTTTAATTATGAAATAAAAGTTAAACATATTTAGAAAATGTAACATTTTACCACATAAAGTTCATTTTCCTATTAATATTATATCAACCAGAATTACCTTTGTGATAAAGAATAATATGATCAGAAGACAGATTTTAATTAAAGAGCATTGCACTATATTGCATAAGATATTAATAATTCAGGAACAGCCTTTGCAATTTATTCATTGATTTTTTGGTTCTAAATGCAACCAAATTATTTCTAATATGATGCTGAAGGTATTCGTTGATATGGATCGATGAATGTTGCAACATTGCCAGGCCTTGAGAACACAATCTGCAACAACATTTTAATCATGGCTTAGTGAATCAAATTCTAAACAACTTTTAATAATAAAAATTAAACTCTAAATTTAAATGACTACTAAAGTTCATTATTTTTCTAAACTAAATTAAAAAGATACCTACTAGCTACCCAAAAAGTCATTAAATTCAACCAATTATACGATCAAGATCAAGCTAAAAGAGATCAAAACCCAATAACAAAAGATTCGAGATCCTTTTATGGTATTAGAGCTGTGCACGAATTAAGTCCAATCCTGATTTCAAATCCTCGAGTAACACTCATTTCAAAACTCTCGTGGCAAAGGCTGACAATTCCTTATCAATTCAAACCTTCCACCAAGTTTCAAGCCTTATTTCAATCAAATTGAACTTTTCTAACTACAGCCTATATGGAAGTCCCAAGTTCTACCGCTCACTAAAAGAAATAGGGGTTTTTCCGACGCTTGAAAACATCGGGAAAAGCCAACAAGACGTATGTTGGGAAAAAAAGTGAAGAGACAGTCAACAATGCTGATCATGGAATGTAGAAGATCAACCCTCAATACACTGCTTCGAAGTTCGAACAATAATGATGTCTCGTGGCTACTAGGAACAATCATTGAAGATGTTCTAGTTATGATTGAAGGAACAGATGATGCCCATAAGGTATGGAACTCTTCAGAAGAAATGATGTTAACAGTCACTAAAGAAAGTAAAATTCATCCGAAGGAAGCTTTAGTAAGCATAGAGAAGTGAAACATTTCTTTCTTTCTGAATACAACATGTGGGGTGGGGATCGAACTCACAACCTCTTGGTTGGAGATTTATCAATTGCCGCTGAGCTATACTCGCTTTGGCAGAAGTGAAACCTTTCATTGGATGAATATTTGAAGTTTAAAAGGACTTTGTGATAAACTAGCTGGTATTGAAGAAGCCATTAGATGAAGAAGAAAGGGGTGGACAGTTCAGAGGAAGAGGATGGAACATGAGTGCATACCTCTTCCTTGACGCCCCTCAAATATTTTGTGACATCATGAGTGCTCTCTCTCGAAACGTCTATTAATCTCGTGTTTCATGCTAGAACAAAACATGTCGAAATGAACTACCATTTTTTTTTTTGAGGGAATATGACATTGGGAACTCTCATTACAAGATATGTACACCCTTTCACCAACAAATAGCTGATATTTTTACGGACCGCTGGCTAAAAACCCCTTTCGATCACTCCGAAACAAGCTCGGCGTTTGATCTTCGCCACTGCAAGTCCAAATCAGCAGCCATTCCAGATCAACAGCATATATTCCAAACCAGTAGCATATCAGTAGCATCACCTAGCAGTAATCTCAACTGCAAATCTTCAACAATCAATCTCCATCATCTCCCCCTTTTTGTGCTGATTAGAACTTTACTCCAGCTTGATCTTTTCTATTTTTAATTTCATTTCCATTTCTTCTGACCAATTCTTATCGTTTCCATTCTTATTAATTTCCTAATGATTTATCAGGAATACTCTCCATGTACTTTCTTCGTGCAGTGTTCTTAAGAAGATTTTACAGTCTCTTGTAATAGAAAGAGAGAGATTGAATTTCTTCAGTACAGTGGGCTGAAATCCTTTGGAAAAAATGTCCTAATCTAGCAATGAAGAGGTGAAAAAAGTCCAAATGTAGCTAAAGAGAACTCAATAGGACCAAAATAACTAATATCCACAAAAAAGGAAACAAAAAATATATCCACAAGAATATTCATAGCCAGAGCCACAAATCTTTAAAAAGATATAAATTTAAGCTAATGAACAGTCAGTTAAATTTCCATTTCAAGTAATAATTTGACATGTCCAATTGAGCAGGAAGATGTGTATACCTGATAATCTCCAACGGTGCGAGATTTAAAACCAGCAGCACAATAGTCAAAATAATATTCCCAAGTTCGTATAAAACTTTCATCAAAACCAAGTTCGAGTATCTGACTGAAATAAAGAATTTTCAATGCATTATAGATTGAGCTTCAATTTGATGCACAACATCCATATTGAATAGAAAAATTCCATACCTCTTATTCTTTAGGAAATTCTTTTTCCAACACCTCAATGTCTGATAGTAATGAATTCCAATGTTTTCCAAGTGTTCCACGCTACAAAGGAATTTCACTTAGTTTTTATCACGGAAAATTACCACGAATCGCCTTCCATATTAATCATATAAACTACCACTAAATTTAAAAGCTTAAACCGATAGATTACGATAAATTTAATCTTTTATAAATATTCATAGTCTTAACAATTATTTACCAAAATCTGGATGATGTAGTCATGGCCGCTGTTAGCCTACTTAATGATTGCAAGCATCCTCCTGGAAATATTCTTAAAGCATCATGGGTTTGTGTTGCTATTACACGATTCATCAAATATTTCTTGAGAATTGAGTCCATAGCTTACGATGCACTCTGATCGAACGTTGTATCAAAATGTTAAACATATTTATTGCAATCTTCAATTGCATATTAAAATACATTAAATGTGGAAGAAAATAAAGAGCCAAAACTATCTTTTATCTATTTAATTACTCACTTTCATTTGTTGTGGAGATGAAATCAACTTTAGAGGAAGTTCTTATACGACATCCTCGACCCTCAAGTACTTTTGGATCTGATATTAATACAAAACAATTGTGATAAATATTATCTAAGATGGAAAGAAATAATAAAATAACTTCTTTCACATTGTACAATTTTAAAGATCACCTTTTCCATGAAAGAATGTAAACTCCACTTGATGATAGGGCATTGTTGATGAACAAATAACTACAAAAGAGAAAAAAAATTTTGCAAATTAAATAAATAATAGCATGCCAAAGACTATTCCTATATATATTAAAGTAGTTGAAAATCTCAAAAAATAATAAAAAAGGTGATTAAAAAAAATACCTGAGGTAAATTATGATTTCGAAGAAATGAAAAAACTAAGAAAGCTGAAAAGTCCAAAATTCTTTCTGTTTGGCACCACCAAATTGAATCACATATCGGAATCTGAACAAACATCACAAATAAACGACCAATTCAAATATAAAGAAGCCTACATTGTACAATTATTTTCAAATTAATTTTAGCAAAGTATTCTTATTTAGCATATTGTAAGGGAAAAAAAAGTAGCTCAATTTCTAATGGTAATTTTCTTTGAAAAATCAATCAAATTATTAAGAAAAATAAAAATACAGGACTTTTGAATACATAATCTCCTGATTTAATGTCTGGTTAATTCACCCACTAATTTAAAAGTTTAAGTCGATGAATAACGATAAATTTGATCTTTTATGGATATCCAGTTACATCTGGTTAACTATATTCAAGTTGACACATTTAAGAGTCCTAAATTCAGAACTCATGATAGTTAATACCTAGAGGTCCAAGACCCTTGCCTCTATGACATTTTAAAGGACAAACCATTTATGTCAAATTATTAAATTAACAATAAAATTCTAATTATTTTAGATATATTTGTTTATTTATACTTTTTATTTGAGTTAATACAAATCAACTCATTAATTTTAAGTTTAATTAATAAAATAACTTTAAGAAGGTTGAACTATTTTTAATTAACTAATTATATTTAGTAGATCATCTTAATTAATTAAAGTATAACTAATAAATTAATTATAAGTAATAAAATTACTTTATTGAGTATAAATTATCAAATGGAAGGGATTATATACCCTTAGAGAGAGGGATAAACAAAGCCTAGAAAATAATGACTATGCCAACCATCCGCTGACTCTACAACATTTGGTATCGAGAATACATAAAAATTACTAATTCTTAAGATAGATGAGTATCGTAGGACTATGCCAACCATGAAATTATGCATGTCAAACTCTCTTACTCATTTTCGCAAAAGGTCGTGAGTTCTCAATCCCCCACCCCACATACTGTACTAAAAAAATATATCTTACTCGTTTTCATTCTCACCCACAATAAACTCATAAACCAAGCGACTTATTAGAGATCGACTAAATCAATACAGCGATAAAATTAAAATAATTTTTACTCGGAAACCAAAAATGAATAGTATATTTAAGAAGAACGAGAGAGATTACTGAATTGGAGAGCATGAAGCCAAGGTCCAAATCAAATCCATGGGAGTTAAGAGTTGTGGCATGACCACCTAAATGATCTTCCCTTTCAAACAACACGACCTCCGCCCCGGCTTTGGCCAAAACATAAGCCGAAACCAGGCCGCTGATCCCCGCTCCGATCACCGCCACCTTCATCTTTCTCCGACCACCGCCACCTTATATTGAATTCAGTTATGAGAGAGTGAGAGAAGTCAGAAAACGCAGTACCAAAAGAAAGAAATGGATGTTCCCTTTATATTGAGGTTTGCCAAATTCAATTCATAAATAATGGCTTTATAATCACGTTGGGCCCATGAGGGCTCCAGTCAAAATAGTGAATAAGTACATAAAAATCTAGTGATAGGATTAAAATGCACTTTTGGCTAAGTGGTAATTTCATTGTGGTACATTTTTATTAGCTTTATATTTTATATACTATGAAATTTACTCTTTTGACGTTATTTTAAATATACTTAGTAAAAATTTGGACTAGAATATAAAATTGTCATATTTCAACTGCTTTTAAAAGTTTAGACTATAATATAAAATTATCATGTTTTGAACTGCTTGTATACATATAATTATTATCATTTAAACTTTTTATCTTATTTTTATTAATATTCTTGTAGATTTAATTTAGAATCTAAATAGAGATACTATAAAAGAAAATCGATGAACTCGTCTAGTTCGGATAGATATTCTATATAAGTAAATTTAGAAAAATTGCATCAAATTCTAGTTTAGAATGGTTAATTAAAATTGTAATATTTAACACCAAGTTTGTATTTTTTACAAAATTGGTTATATTTTAGTTAAAGTTTTTTCTTAATTAGTACAATAAATGTAGAGATAAGATATTTAACCTCCAATTAATAGAGAATGAACAAAAATATCTCAACTGCTACGTTCATGTCGATTTTAGTTTTTTTCTTTATTATCATTATTATTATTTTTGGTATGATGTTGGCTTTAGTTAAAAGCTTAGTTTCATTTTAAGAAAATTTCCATTTTCTATGTTGCAATGAAAAAATTAACCCTTTTTTCCTTTGAAGTGTACTACGAATGTGGGGTGAGAATTTAAACCTTCAATCTCAATGGAAGAAGTAGATATATATTTTAACCAAATAATTAATTATGTTCATGTTTTGTTGGCTATCATAATTTCATTCAATTAATTACTAGTAAATCATAATTGTAATTCTTTACTATTTCTAATAAAAAAAAATTTTAAATCCCATTCAAGGTTTAAATTTTATCCTTTATTTCAAGAGTATTGTCATTAATATTAATAGAAAAATGAACTATATATGTGGTAAAGTGTACAATTTTCTTTAAGGGGTTATAAGAGTTTTATAATTTAAATTACTCAAAACTAAAGTTTATAAATTAAAAAAAAAAAAGATAATGTAAGATTAATATATGTACGCATGAGTATCTACGATATATGCTTATATATTATTACTAAAATTCAAAAGAAAAAAAATTGTCTGAAAACAAAAAAAATGGCACTCCAAATTTTAAAATTATTTTATAAAATGTTTTTAAAATATTAAAACATATTTAGAACCAGCTTGTAAGTTGCAATCTAAAAATTGTTGTTAAAAACTTTGAATGCATCAAAATCTTTATTATTATTATTATTAATTTTTTTTAGGCAATCAAAATCTTTATTATTATTTCCAAGGAAACAAAGCATTCAACTATATGTTAAATGACATCATTTGAAACTTTTGTTGATAGAGAATACAATAATGTAATCAACGTGAGGTTAGCTCAATGATAATTGGTACGATTAAGAGGTCATGAATTCGAATCTTCCTACCCACTTGATGTTATAAAAAATATTAATTCACTTCCCGCCATGAAAAATTGTGATGGTTTCATTTAATTTCTCCATGAATGCAAAATTACAAGTTAGGTTGCATTCAATATGCAAAATTTTGTTTGGACTCACCTAACATATAAATTTATATGGAGGTAAATTATGTAATGTGTATACTTGTCCATAGTGGAAATGTGAAAATGTCTTATCATTTTACTTCATTATTATTATTTGTATTTATTGTAAGTTATGAATGATGCCAAACTTTCTCAATGGATTTCCTGTAAGTGTGAATGGGATTTCTCGAAAATATATAAGAGGTAAATTAGGTAATATAAACGGTGGAAATGAAATCGTGATCATTTTTACTATTTATATTTATTTTAAGTCAGGGAAGGATATCAATCATGATTTTAAATATCTGTCGACACGTCGACATTTCCATCGACATATCCATGTTTTCATGGGTTTGACATCGACATGCGGGGTAAATCAACATTTCCATTATAGTACAACCAAATCGACAAAATATGAAAAATATCAACAAAATGTCACTAATATACACATAATATTAATATTAATTATTTTTAACTAATTTAGAAATAGGAAAATGTTTATTTGTTCATTTAAATATTTTTTATGATTTTTTAATTTTTATAATTTTTATAGAAATATTCATGGACATCGACATTTTTAAAAGTTTGATGCTAACTCGTGAATGCCTCGTTGAATCGAGATTTCTCAATTTTGGGTAAGTGAGATTTCTCGGAAAAATAAATATATAAAAGGTAAAAGTAAGTAGTGTGTATCTTGTCAATAGTGAAAATGAAAAAGTGTTAATCATTCAACTTTAACTTTATTTTTATTATTCGTATTTATTGTAAGTTATAAATGATGCCAACTTGTGGATTCCTCGTTGAATCAATAATTGAATTCTTAATGATAGGTGAATGAGATTCTAAAAATAAAAAAGGGTAAATTAGGTAGTATCTATATTGTCAACCGTACTATCTTTATTCACATTACGATTTTTCTTTTGTAAATAAATTTTTAATGTAAATAGACCCACGTCACTTTTAAAACGATGTTGATGTGGCAGACAATGAGTACTAGAAGAAGTACTCTTATAGACGTACCTTAAATATTTTTGCCGTCTATTATTGTAAGTTACAAACAATGTCATATTGTGGTTTCCCTAAGAATTGAATTCTCGATGCATTTAAAATAATGTTGAAAATTCATGTATTTATTAGATTCATTTATGAGCGAGAATACTTTTCTAGAAAAACAACTTCTAAGAGATAGTTTAAATTAATGTTTTAAATGTCGATGTCGATAAAAATGTCGAAATCTCAATTTCATGGAAATATCGACAAAATGTCGATGTCGATGATATTTCTATAAAAGTTAGAAAGCTAAAAAAT